TCTTCTCGCGATAGTGTCATGGTGATGACAAAAAAACTGTTGACAGTTGACGAGCTGAGAGAAGGACGCCATGGGCAGAAGTTGGAAGAAAAAAGAAAAAGAAAAAGAAGTCTTTATACAAGTTAAAGAAAAGAGTGAAGAAAGCAAGACGACATCAGGAGTAGTCTCCTAACCCCCTAGCATAATGAGGATCAGAACCGGGTGCGATACCCATATGGTTCAAATGGTCCGCAGGGATCGGGGCTCTGCCAACCGCGGAAGGTTGTAGTAAGGTCACTGTTTCCGAACACAGTGTCCTCCACCTTGTTTCATGCTGTCAATCTAACAATTGCGTGAACTATAACAAGGTTTATCTAATACTGGTTTTCAACCAGTGTTAGGTTATATCATCCATGTACATGTAGTACAGATCTGACGCTTATCATTCGCCCCATTATCACGGGACAGTTCTGTCTGTTTGGTTTCCGAATTCAAATACAGAAAACAACACAATGACAACATAATTGTCTTTGAGCATGTGCAGAAACATTATGCTGATGCGATGCAAACACCAGGATCTGTTGGCTGCAGAGTTCAAAAGGAATGTGGAAAAGCTACGATATCTGTGTTTAAAACACTTGTGGGAATGAAGAATCATGTCTCCCATGTTTTTTTGTTATTTGACTGTCATGTACAGACATGGAACACACACACACTGGTTTGGTGAACTCTAAGCATCTCACTCAGCAGTATTGGCTGGCAGCAGCAGGTGCATTTTGTACGTGTACCTGCTCCTAGAACATGTACATGTATTACAAACTCCAAGTCTAACCCTTGCTTCCAGGTTCGGTTCCCCTTTTGTCCCGCCCCTGCTTGATGCATCCCCATCACCCCGCCCCCCCCCCCCCCCCGATCAAGACCTAGCGTGGAGCGAGTCTGGTCTCACTCTCAGTGCCTCATCATCACTGCAGCAACTGTCTAGTGTCTACCCAATGCAAGGACGCAGGTACAATGTAGGGACCGGCGGATTCTGCTCGAAAAGGTGGCAGATTCTGCTCGAAAAGCAGTGAAATTGGCAAAACCATACAAACCTTATGGCGGGCAATTCCTCGAATTCTGCTCCATTTCTTTATCCACATACCAAACATGCATGAAACGTACCAGAAAAAGTACCGAATTCTGCCATTTTTCTTCCGGCAGAATCCGCCGGACCCTAGTACATGTACAATGTACAATAGCTGTGTCACTGGCTAGTCTTGTCCTCCTATTCTTGTCGTGTCTTGCTACTTCTACTGTCATCATTCCTATTTGCTCCCCTGGTTCCTAGGGTTACTAGTACATTGTACATTGTATGTGTGACCAATAAAATAATTCAAAAGTACAATAAACAATCTGCATGTACATGTACATGCACATTTGTACAGACATAGGCATGGTCAAGTCGTGGAGAAAGGACGAGTCACTGGCAGGTTATGGCCTTCACTGGCTTCAGTTTCATTGCGGCAGAAAACGAACTCACTATGTGTACTTGAGTTCAACTCATGATTAAATTTTGATACCTTTGAAGGACATACACAGCACCGCGAACAGTCCTACACTACTGCTGCCTAGGCTCCGGCGGAATATGCTCGTGAAATCATGGAATTATGCTTTCATGGATTCTCGCATTATGCTCGCAAAATCCTCAAATTATGCTTTGGCAGCATGGACACATATTCACTTTGCTGTACATAGGGAGCCTCAAGTTCAGAAAATCATGTGTGCCTCAGTACTTGCAAGTGACCATAAGTACTACAAATACATGCATCGGAGTATCCCCATACCAAGGTGTCCTGACTCCATGCATGCTAGAGATCCGGCAACATGGAAAAGAGAAAACATTACTTCTTCTATTCACAGTAGAATGTTGTGTTTGTCTGGCCGTGTTGGGCCAGAATTTTGTCACTAGTGTTCTTTCATACTTGAATTTTGTCCCCTTGGAGTGTTTGATTGTTATCTTTCACGCACATGGGATCGTTCAAGAATACCTTGTGATACTTCTTTTGGCATTGTTCAGGTGTTATAATATCACTATCGATCCTTTATAGTAATCTGTGTTGCAATTAGTACAGCGATACTTCCTGAAGAGCGTTGTGCGAAAGCTAGTTCGATGCATGTTTATATTTTTCATCGCTCCTATTATTGTAAGATTGCAATGACGGTTTTATTGAGATGTAAAGTGGTGATGGACACAGAAATAACTGTGATGGAAAGATAGTATGAAAAAAAAACAATAATAGGAGCGATGAAAAATATAAACAGGCATCGAACTAGCTTTCGCACAACGCTCATCCTATTATTGTTCTTCACATTACATTTTCATCACTTCTTTGTCCATCACCACTTTACATCTCGAGAGGCATTCCCTACTTGTTAGAATCATTATCTTCTTCACTATTTTTCCTTCTTCCATCGTTCAATACTGCACATTGTTTCCATCGTTTGACACTACACGACTGCAGCTCACTTTACATCTCAATAAAACCTTCGTTACAGGTCGCTTCAGCTGATTCCAAATTAGTTTCATTACCTTTGAAAAGTGGCATGCTCAACTGTCTTCGTAATCGTCATACTCATCCAACCGATGTCACCCTCACCCCGCGAATAATCAGCTCATCTCTCCCGTGGCTCCACCTCTCCTTCCATGATGACAGAACATCAACTCTACCTCAATTTTTTTAATTATCAGAGCAATATCCATAACCTGCACAGTCATGGCTGCTGAAATCCAGAGGTCAAGACATGTACATGTACATGTACGCGGAGTTTTGCGGACTACCCGTCACTATCTCGTCAGCCCCAGGATACCCGTGATAAAGGCTGATTCACTCGCATCGTCTGCTACGTACATGTACTGTATATAATAATAATAATAATAATATTCGCGGGATCCGCGTTAGCATCGCTTGAATGTGCAGAAACACACAAGCTACATGTATAGCCTTCGCTTCCGCAGGCCACCACTATGCCTTTACACCTTACATGTACTGTATCAGTGTGAGAAAGAACCTTGAAGAAGACGAATTTGAGCATACAACAATGTATTGCCATGAATTTTCTACCCTGCTTTTCATTGAAAACACTTCATGTACATGTATCTGCATGACCTCCGAACCCTTTACCATGCAGACCACCAGCAGTCCAACACTGATCAGGTGCATTCTCAACCCTTTACCATGCAGACTAGGCCTTGACGGATTATGCTAATATTTTCGTGAAATTATGCTTTTCGCATTGCTGAAAAAATTGCAGAATTATGCTATTTTTATGCTAAAAGTTATCATTATGCCGCATTATGCTCACATATGCTGCTAATGCATAATGGTTCTGAGCAAAATAACAAGGGAATTTTTTTGTAGAGGGCGTTGTACTGTACTAGTAGCAAAGGTTCAACGGGCTCAACACACCGTCCGACTTAGCTACGACCATCAGTCCATCACTGATTGTAGTGGACTGGACATGTTATCAAGGGAGTCGTAAACCTACAACTTCCTAGTGCATCTACACTACTGGTACTTTTGTACTTGTAAAACATGTACAACTGTATGGAATTTGATGCGAACAGGCGGATTATTCCAATTTTATGCGATTCGTAATCAATTTGCCTCGAATTATGCGATTATTCGATTTTGGTAGGAATTATGCGAAAAATTATGCTAGCATAATCCGTCAAGGCCTAATGCAGACCACCAGCAGTCCAACACTGATCAGGTGCATTCATTTGTGTAGCCTACTTTGAAGTACAGTGTACATACATGTACATGTACTAGAACTGTGGTAAAATCATGTACAATGTAGTTGTGCTTCTACCTCCGACAGGATGCCAAATTATGCTCCAAATTTTGAACCACCAAATTATGCCAATAATTATGCCGCCATTATCGGAATGGTCTACATTGTATACATGTACGTCATTGTACATGTATCTTCCGCCCACACACCATACCATAAAATTAATATGTTTTTAAATAACATAAAACACCATAACCACTGGATTACGTAAACACCATAACATAAATATTTTAAAATTTAATTACAATGAAGTATCAAAACCAGGAGCTAGGCGGTCTCAAAGGTACGTAATAATTACGTATTATTTTTTAGAATACAGTAGATCTACAATCGTCAAGTAACAGCTGCCTGTGGACCATATGGGTTCTTGATGCACAGCCCGAGGGTGATTCATTGATAGAGCGGTCTCTGGAGTAAAAATACAACAATCGCATTCCGCCGACGATCGCCTTGTTTCGGCTCTTCGTCTTGATCAGATGGTGTTCTAGCGAGTATGTGCGCTAGCCAGTAAATCTACACCTCTTCAAAGTCAGTTTAGCGTCTGCATGACCTACTTCTGAAGTAAGTAATCTTAGTTCAGCAAAAAGTTCTACCACAGTACATTATGGTCTACGTGGACTACGTGTCGTGGCGAGCAAACTCGGAAAGTGATTTTTCAAGCACCGTGGCATATGCGTCAACACGTGCGGTCCGCCTCGGAAGTGTTGGGACATGGTGTTAGGCCTTTCTGTGATCGCGCCATACTCGACCAGTCACGTTCGGCGTGTTCGGGTACACGTCTGGTGCGTGCAATCGATCAAGCAGCTACGAATATTGTAGGTTGAGCTTGAGTTCCTGTGCGTGCTCATATGTACCTAGAAACTGAGCCTGTAGTGTAGAGTTGACTGTTGAGTCTGTTGTCGAGTCGAGTGTACAATCATGAGTGCACTAGTGCAGGTGTGAACTGACAGGTCGCCATCACCCCAGTCCTCCCAGCGGTGAGCTCTGCACGTAGATCCATGATTGGCATGAAGGCATGATCCATGTAGTCATAGTGCATGCATATGCAGCTCGGCCTGCAGGCGGAAAACCCGGAAAATGTTCGAGAGACCGAGACGCTCCGCAGCGTGTACGCTCGTTCACGGTTGTGACTTTTTTTTAAACTGGCCAACGGTCCCGTGTCGCAGTTAGTTGAGCAGAAGGTTCTTGTGGAAATTGGGGATCTGGGACGTTGAGAGCGTTGGAAGGTTTGTGTTTGAAGAAGAGTGTACCCGGAAGATGAGTGGCGGGTGCAGTAACTACAGTACAGGGACCCTGCCTGACCGGCCTGGCTCGGCGTCAACATGATCAAGGCATGCGGTAAGTGCGAACTGTTCTCACAGGGGAGCTTCTCTCCTTGCCGTTTCTGCTGGGACCGGGAGTGGGTTGTGTTGGGGTGGGGACAGAGCGATCCGGGTAAGGAATTTTGCTATTGTCGCACACATTGGCTGCTAGCACTAGCCGATTAGATCTAATTCAATAACCAACCTGGCTCCACTCCTGTGAAAATAATGCACAGCTGTACCAAACATCTTCGATTTGGATTGAGGCTATTCTCCATCTGGTGGCGAGAATCGATTGGTGATTGGAGGCGCAAGGGTTCGCTTGCCGCGTTCGCCTTCGATCAGCAGGGATCGTGTTGCCCATCGCGTTCTTCTTCATCCCATTGTTGTTGTTGACTTTATTTACTAGAGTGGAGTTCCAAAACAGGCATTGCGGTGTTTTATTTTATTTCAGGAGAGCCGCGTGCTCTGTTCAGATTTTAAAAAAAAGCGCATTTTCCTTTTCTTCCTGTGTCGCTCCGCAGCAGTGCACTATCGCAGTATTGCATTGGCGAGAGAGGGAAATGGATGCGTTTAGCACTCGATACTAGTATACAGATCTACAGTAAAGAGAGCAAGCGGCTGTGACGACCTGCATGGTACGATCGAAATGATCGAGGTGGAACGATGCGGCATTATAGTGGTGCTTGGAGGCATGATGCGGCATCTAGCCAAGGCCCAGTGCAGTCTAGCACTCAGAGTCACTTTACAAGATAGGGAGTCCAACTCATGGCGTGCACCTTTTGCCTCCTGACTCATGAGCACAATGCCATTCAGAGGCTGGTGTTGCCCTTCTTTGGCTTGAAAAATTAGCCCTGGCTTGGAGGATACCAAAGTCCAACACTTTCTTTGCCAGATGGGGATGTCGTCCATAGCTTACAGTACATTGAATTTGTGCTACACACAAACCCTTTGAGAACAATGGACAAGGAAACAAATGCATCCGTAACTAGCACTGGCCGCCATGACAAAGAGGAAACTTTCCCACCAAATGCATGATCACCATCTTTATTGAAAATATGGAGTTACCGGGCAGTTGTATTGGCAGTGGTATTGGCAGTGGTATCACCCAGGTATTGAGAGGTCTACTCAAACAAACTTTCTCGGTGGGCCACCATTACTAGTAAGCCCCGATACACCAGTGGCAGATGATTGCGCCAGGGAAGGGTAACTCTCTGCCGGCACAGCTCATCACATTATAGAGTGGTACATGTACGCACGCACGCACACACCACTTCATTGTTACTTCTCGAAACAAACTGCTGCCAGCTCTGGTTTCGAACTCGGAACTCATGATCCGAAGGCAAGCCTACAAATCACTTGGCTGTATTTGTGTTTATTCAACATTTCCTGGCTCGTCAAACGACTGCCAATGACAAATGAATATGAAATGAAGGGTGATAGCCAACCACGGCAACTATCCCACCTATATACATGTACATTGATTAGTTCACTCGATCAAAAACTATCCACAACTTTTGTTTGCATGGTGAGCGACCTCCGACACCTTAGTTGCAGAAGTCGTACTTGTCAATGCTGCTGCTGCTGCTGTTGTTGTTGTTGTTGTTGTTGTTGTTGTTGTTGTTGTTGTTGTTGTTGTTGTTGTTGTTGTTTTCATGAAGGCTTTGGCGTCACAAAACAGACCACCGGGTCCAAATTTCTTCCCTTGTCTTATTTGTGATGCACATTAAGTTTTTTTTTCATTAGTTCGAGGGAAAGTTGCAAACGGGAAACGTCTGAAGAAAAAAATTGCCTGTCACCACCAGGACTCGAGCCAGGGACATATTTTCCCCCATTCTTTTCTACATGTTGTGATCTGGGGTGAGTTTGTGGTCTTTCACATAACGTCATGAACTATTGTTTTTTGTAAAGCAAGGTTAGACCGTGCTTAGAGGGCATAAGGACCCCATTTGCTGCCTGTGGGTGAATAGCCGTGGCATGCCTCTCAAGAAGTTTGAGTGTCTGGCTTGCTGCATGCTTTGTACAAACATAGTATTGTGCTGGCCCTACCTCACAGTGATATCAATATTCATTGAAATACAGATAAGAATGTTTCGCGATGTTATCTCTTCGGTTGGATTGAGTGTTGAAATTTGATTTCTTGTGAAAATTTGCCATTCTACAGTGTGTAAAAGGGGGGTGCATGTAGCACCTACTGTGGTTTTCATAAAAATAATGCTCCTCTAACTGCCTCTGCCAACTTCCCTGCATACCGTGCAAAGACGGGTCAACCACCGCAGGGCCTTTTCCCTGCCAGGTTTTCGCACCGCCTGCTATTTTCTTTTTTTATGGCCAAACCCATAGCTAAGGTGCATTCAGGAATTCTCACTCAAACTTCAAAGCACAATTATGTACTCAGCTCCCATAGGAGTCATCTTAATCTCCTGATCCCGTCTCCAAACGTTTAGCCTGGGCTAGTATCTGTGAGCTCATAGCTCCCCTCCCCCCCCCCCCTCCTCTCTCTCCATTTATGTTTGTTTCTTTCTCCCCTCCTCCTCCTCCTCCTCTCTATCTCTATCTATCTACTCGTATCTATCTGAATGTCTCTTTCCATATTTTCATGACTTGAATCACAACAATGAGACCAGTCCACTGCGACCAAATTTGGGAGGAACATAAAAGTGATCTTCCATTATTTTCGTGGCCAGGGCATGTGTATCAGAGGCCCCGCAAACGCTTCACTGAGCAAACATGAAGATATTGATACTCACCCCATCCCTCGTCATGTTGGGAATAAATGGGAAAGAAAATTAATTTCTTGTTGATATGGATGCGCACACACCGGAAAGTTGTTATCACAGATTTAACCGTCTGTTCGTCTCATCTTCTGTCGTTGCTCAGGTGGCCGCCAGATCATGATGGGACACATTTTAGTGCTGCCAGCACCATCAAGGACACCTACATACAAAGTCCTAACCCGCCTTGAGTGGACTGATTGAGCCGCTGATTAGCTCGCCAGCCCCCGAGGCCATGACTTTGGGATGCCGGCCAGTTTTGACCTTTCATCTTTCTTGGTATGAATCGGCACATGACGCTGTAGCTGGATAGCTGTGGGTGTCTCCAGGACCAGGAGACTGCATCTGAAAGTAGCAGAACCCTGTTTGCAAGACAGTACAATCCTGATCATTGTCATAGGGATTCTCACGTCTGTTAGGGAAAGTCCCTTTCATGGATATGAGTTGCATAGCTAGTACCAGTAGAACGTGTAGTAGTAGTAGTGCCCCCGACTGTATCTTGTTACGGTACGTCTTCCCATGGTTACTTCGGTGGACGTGCCGTCACAAGATGCAGTACAATGCTATTGTAGCGCCAGGCTGCTGGACTGCAGCACATGAGTGGATGATAACTGGCCAGGAACACCCGGAGCTGCCGATGATGAACTTGCACAAGTGCCCGAGCCATGCAGTACTGCCCGTCCACCAAAGTGAGTATACTGTATACTAAACTGAAGTGCTATCATGTCCTGTGGGTACTGAGTCAACTGTCTGTTCAATTATGCTACGTATCCACAGCAGGTGACTTCCGCATTCAGCACCCCGAAGACAACAACTGGTGAAAATTTGATTTTCGGGTATACTCCCCCTTTAAGGAAGGAATTAGTTCCTGATGGCCACCGGCAGGATATCAAACCAATGACCTCACTGTATAAGCCTCACCTCTGCGTGCTTTGTACATGTACTTCGTCCTCCTTTTCTGTGAGCGAGTTTTCAACACCTCACTGCGCTGTTGATATCAAGACCTCGGTAGTTGTTCCCAGTAGCGTTACATCTGCATATCCGCATATGCAGATGTTACTGCATATACGCTGGGTTGTAGGGTTGATGGTTATGATGGGCATCAGCCCTACACCCCAGCGTACTGACAACCACAGTCATGTTACTATGTAGCAGGGAGTCGTAAAATACCGGTATTTTACGACTCCCTGCTATGTAGCTACCACAGGCTTTTCAGCACTGACGGGTTGTGCTCATAGAGTGTGATGTGCATGCATTGTGCTAGGGGTGTGATCAGGTAACAGGGTGCCCGTGCTACCCGTGATTAGAGCGGGTATTCGGGTAGCAGTTTGCTCCTGAGAACCCGATCAGGTAGTTGAAGTACGGTGTTTTCGCATTGCATATTGGTGCAGTAAAAAGCACGGCCACCTGCTATACGGTATACTTTCTATGTAGCGCAAGTGCACACTCACAGTACAAAACTATGTCAAGAAAATACCCGACCCATGCTACCGGGATAGAAACACCCGGAACTCGTTGCCCGCCCAAACCCCTACCTGTTGCACTTGCAGCCATTGTGCAGTGGCAAATATGGAGGGCATGTCAGGATAAGTAATGCATGTGAGTACACTAGAATCAGGAATGCACACAACCATTCCCAGATGTTTGTGTGCCGGGGCACTGGTGTTACAGTACTGCATGTCATTGTACATGTATGTGCAGTATAAAGAAGAGAAATTAAATGTGCGTCACTGACATGTACATGTACATGTACCTAACAATAATTTTAAATGTTGTCTAAACAGCTATCTGTCCAGAGACTGTGCTCAATGTCACTGTTCTTCACACACAGAAATTTCCTAGCAATCATCCACGGACCATGTGACACGTCCGACTGCTCCAAGTAACAGTTGAAATATTCATTTCGATACCCGTATGTACATGTACACGTACCGATACAATTCATATCCATATTATCTGGGCAGTATTGCACCGGACACTGGCCCACTGCCCGTAACTAACTTGGAATTGTCCATAACTCTGCATCATGTACATTTTTGATGGGGAACGGCCAGCATGCCAGAGATCTGGCATGTGACACCACTATTTCAACAAACTTGACAAAAGAGTAGTAATATTTCCACTGAAACTCACCAACAGGGTGCCTGCAGCAGGCCTGGTAGACCGAGGTGCCTGTAACTCCAGGTTCTACTACTAGGTGCATTTGAAGTCGTTCCCGGCCACGAGTATAGGCTCTATACTAAGACTATAATAATTATGTACATGTATGTGTGCCTGGTATCAGTTCATGATCCACTGTTGTTGTTGTTGTTGTCGTCGTCGTCGTCGTCGTCGTCGTCGTCGTCGTCGTCGTCGTCGTCGTCGTCGTCGTCGTCGTCGTCGTTGTTGTTGTGGGTGTTGTTGTGGGTGTTTTCTGCTGTAATGTTGAATTTTATTTTAGGTTGGAACATGAACAGGCGATGGCGCCTCCTTATACATGTACATGTATGCATGTGAGCGACATAACACATTTAGTAATGAAGAGGAGGAACAAATCACAAGTGAAAAGAAATCAACTAAAAAAATTGGATTATGATGAAGCCGCCAGGCAGAAGCGTCCAAACTCATCTTAGTGGAAAAGAATCGATGAAGGTAACAATATGTTACAGAAAGAGGGGTAGAAAGAACGTGTTGAAAACACCGAGGTTTAATGACTGGTGAGATGACTGTGAGGTTGGTGACAGAGTCGAGGCCGAGGCGCTCACCTGTGACCTGGTTCTCCGACAAGTACACTGCACAATGATGCAGCCGGCCTGCACATCTGTTTGACTTATCGCTGTGCAGTTCCTGATGGTGATTGATGGTTGCCAAATCTGGATGCATTCTACATTTTTTGTTATGCCGAAGGTAGTTGACCAATGCCAGCTGTTGGTGAAGAAGAGGTGTGTGCTGTCTACATGTAGCTAGAAGCTAGTGTTGATATCCGGATATCCGTGGCGACTGCTTGATAAAAATAAGCTTCCGGAATTCCCTATACGCTGTGTTGCTGCAAGGTGTGTGTGTGTGTGTGTGTGTGTGTGTGTGTGTGTGTGTGTGTGTGTATGTGTGTGTGTGTGTGTGTGTATGTATGTGTGTGTGTGTACGTTTGTTTGTTCCTAGTTTCAATGCACATACGTGCACGTGTACGTGTTATTTTCAGTCAACTGTTTACTTAGGATTGCAATCTGTCCAGTACTAGTGGTGCTGTTCATTAGAAATCCCATCACTACTGTGCACTACAGACATCGATAAGAGTATAGGGCGAAAAAAGAAAAGAAAAAGGAAACCTGTCTCATACCAATTCAGACTATTGGTAAGCGGAAAGTGGCAAAAGAAAGAGAGAAAGTAAAGGGTAGACTAAGATGGAGAGACAACGATTACCGCAATCAATGAGACGAGCTGAACCGTATACTTGATTCATGCAATGTAAAACGGTGGAGAGGATGTGCAATAAAGCGATGAAAAATGAAGAAATGGTGTAGAGAAAAAATATGGATTCAAACAAGTTTTCGTAAAACACTCATCAGGAATCTTCGTTAGGAATCTTCGTTATACTAAAGGACACTGAACTTGTGACAAAATTGAACTATTATAGAAAATCTAAGTTAAAAATCCGTTGATCCCCGAGCTGCAGAGAGTGCTCAATGTCAGAGACAGAGTTTAGTACATAGCAGACTCAGCGGAGGACGTTCTCGCTGAGTTTCATGCCGTTAGGCAATCATCAGACAACGTCCTCCGCTGAGTCTGCTATGAAAATCTAAGTTAGAGAAATAACACTAAGAACAACAGCATTCGTTATTGCTCTCGCTTTGATTGTTAAAATTCACACTTGTAAATTTCACTGCTGTTGTTCTTAGTGTTATTTGAATTTCTCTAACTTAGATTTTCTATAACAGTTCAATTTTGTTTCAGTGTCCTTTAGTACAACGACGATTCCTGATGAGTGTTGTACGAAAACTTGTTTGAATCCACATTTTTTCTCTACATCATTTCTTCATGTTTTCATCGTTTTATTGCACATCGTCTCCACCGTTTTACATTGCATGAATCAAGTATACAAATGTCGGTTCAGCTCGTCTTATTGATTGCGGTTATCAAATTATTGTCTCCTCGCCGTTTATTTAGACAACGATTCACTTATAATAAAGAAAAGGACCCAGGAACTATAATTTATGCTATAATGTCCACTAACACCACCAGTTACTTGACAATCAGCTCATGAGATATTCATAACATTGCAGAAAACTTACCTACAGGTAGTTGTAGAACGTCGGTACTGTGGGTCAGTTTTGTGCAATATTATCGCATGAGCTGATTGTCAAGTAGGCATGGGCGGGTAATGCTGGCATTATAGTCCCTTTTTTCCAGGTGGCATAATTATATATATTTTTTATTTACTGTCTGCACTTCATGGCACATAAGTGAGGGTGAAACCAACCAAGGATAATGCTGGCATTATAACACCACTTCGCATGCAAAATTGGCATTACAAGCATAATTGCCAGTCGACAACGGTGCATGCATGAAGCTGGCTACATTTTTTTTATACAATGTAGGTCCAGTTCCGAAAATCGTGCATCTGAACCCGTCCGGCTCCGTCCGGGGACTTGACGTTGCAAATCAACCTTCTCAGTGGATTGTTTCAGACAACATGCTCACTGCTGTTTAAGTTTTTTTCTTCTGCGCTTTGGCCTTGATCCAAGACGGCCTTCTTAAGACTTTTCCAACTTGCAACTTTCAAACTGGCATTATGGAGTAGTCTGAGCATTATAAGTGGCATTTTATCCTCATATTATGAGCATTGCCTTTAGCACTATCCCAGCAAATAACTAGCATTACCCGCCCCTGCCTATTGTCAACTAACTGGTGGTGTTAGTGGACATTATAGCGTCACTTGTAGTTCCTTGGTCCTTTTCTTTATTGGAAAGTAAAGGAGCAATTATTTGAAGAGTATACACAGATGTTGCAGAGAATCAATTGCCCAGAGCCAGTTGTTGTGACGCAAGTGGCGGCGGACCTTGGTCTGTTGTTGTTGTTGTTGTTGTTGTTGTTGTTGTTGTTGTTGTTGTTGTTGTTGTTGTTGTTGTTGTTGTTGTTGTTGTTGTTGTTGTTGTTGTTGCTGTTGTTGTTGTTGTTGTTGTTGTTGTTGTTGTTGTTGTTGTTGTTGTTGTTGCTGCTGCTGCTGCTGCTGCTGCTGCTGCTGCTGCTGCTGCTGCTGCTGCTGCTGCTGCTGCTGCTGCTACTACTATTGTACCTGCAGAGGGTAATACATGTCGAGAGAGGCGCATTCACGCCCTTGGTTTTTGCCACCAATATTCAAGCGTTATGGCAAGATTGAGGTGCTGTATCTCTTTCTTCCCATTAAAATGGGTTGTAACGTGTTTTCGTGGATGCCGGGCTTCCTATTTGCGCCGCCGAGCACGCTCATCATTAATTTTCTCGACCAATGCCGCTTGTATGATTCGTGGGCTGGTTGCATCAATAATAGTGTGTTCTGCGTCGTTTGCAGGCATGCTTGGTAAAATATTATTTTTCATTGTTAATCATAACGACCTACTTCTTGCGTAGGGATGTCAATTGAATTAAGTATCCTATCCACGATGGGAATTAACCGTATTGCGTGACCGATCCTTTCAATGTTCTTATCTTTACTATTCCTTTTCCACCTGGACTCCTCCTTGGTTTCCCTTTTCGGTCTTCTCTTGTACCTTGTTGTTGTTGTTGTTGTTGTTGTTGTTGTTGTTGTTGTTGTTGTTGTTGTTGTTGTTGTTGTTGTTGTTGTTGTTGTTGTTGTTGTTGTTGTTGTTGTTGTTGTTGTTGTTGTTGTTGTTGTTGTTGTTGTTGTTGTTGTTGTTGTTGTTGTTGTTGTTGTTGTTGTTGTTGTTGTTGTTGTTGTTGTTGTTGTTGTTGTTGTTGTTGTTGTTGCTGTTGTTGCTGTTGTTGTTGTTGTTGTTGTTGTTGTTGTTGTTGTTGTTGTTGTTGTTGTTGTTGTTGTTGTTGTTGTTGTTGTTGTTGTTGTTGTTGTTGTTGTTGTTGTTGTTGTTGTTGTTGTTGTTGTTGTTGTTGTTGTTGTTGTTGTTGTTGTTGTTGTTGTGGTTGTTGTTGTGGTTGTTGTTGTTGTTGTTGTTGTTGTTGTTGTTGTTGTTGTTGTTGTTGTTTGATTCTTGAATGCTTGGGGCTGCAGAGATTTGAGATGCAGTTATTCTTTGGACCCATGTGTTGCACGTACAGTGTAGCTCGGACTAGCAGTGGCATAGTCCCAAAGTGTTCAGCTTTGAATTGCAATCTTGACAGTCATTGTCTCAAAACTGTGTGCCGCGTTGCCAAATCGGGATCATGTTGAGCGCCACTACAATGTTGAGCAGAGTTCTCGGAATCAAGACAGGCACAAGCACACTCAGAATGACACGAATTGGCCTAGTCGTACACGGACACGTATAATGCTACGCTGATGTCCTTCTGGCACTATCCCGTGACTAGCATATGGTCAACTCCCAATTGCTGGCGACAGGATGCTATGAATAGCTGCCGTGTGCGCGTGTCTGCAGCATGTACATAGTCAGTGTAACATGTGGATCATTAAAGATCTGGACTCTTTCTCTTCTTGAGGGTAGAAGTCAGAACTCCCTGACTGATTCCAAATACCTGTGCCAGCTACTAGGACACGCTATGAACACGCCTGCACTTGAAATACTCAACAAGTGTGAGGAGCACGGAGCGTGAAAAATTGGCACTTGGCTCTGCGGTAGTCATTGCATTATCGGTGTTTTAAAGACACTCGGTGACTGTTGCCTGCCACTATAAGTTAGCTGTGTGTGTCCGCACCCAATCTGCTGGATGGAGACACTCACAAACAACGCATACAGCCACTCATTCAGCAGTGTGTCTATTGTGCTCCCCATGCTTGAAAGCCAATGGTACGCATCCAAGCAAGACTAATGGGAGGATTTCAGATTGTACCTAGAAGTCTTTCTCAGCAGCCCAGTGCTGCCCTGCAGAGGCTGAGCCTGAAGTAAGTTTTCAAGTGCACGTCAGAAGATTTGGAGAAGGTAGGGAACGGACGGTGGGTGCATGAACAGAAGGAATGATTCAGGAGCTCTCAGTGAGGCGAAGGCACTTCAACTTCAAGCAGTACTCTCTGCCACTCAATCAGCTAAACCAGCTACCTCCATGATACGAACATCACACCCTTCATATACTATTTCATGTACACTGTAGATCCAGGAGCTCGTCCCAGCATGACAATTCGCTAGTATTACTATTACAGTATTAGCACATTGATCACGTTGAACTACAGTCCTGAACGTTCAGTATGAACTAAGCTATCAAGGACGTACATGTACATGTAGCATGGCTAAGCATGGTGTCATTGACAGGTGTTCTTCCTTCCTGCTCCTTGCAACACTTCAGATGACTGACGTATGCCTAAATTAGTTGCTATGGTTTGTCTGAACATCATCCGCAGCACACTAGTACTAGAGCCCTTTATAACATTTTGTATTAGAGCCCAGAGCTTCGTCGCTTCGACGCTGGGCACATGTACACGTTATGTCAGTATCCACACACAAGCTGCAGCCTGGCCATCGATCGGATAAATTTGTTCTCTGGTTGACTATCTGTTGAAACCCGTAGAATACAGCAGTGTAGTCACCCGATATCGACCCTACTGTATAGTACAGTCAACTTGGCTTATAACGACAATCGGTGGGGCATCAAAAAGGTGTCCTTATTCGCGAAGTGTCGTTATACCCGATGTCTCATTATATTACAGTGGGATGGGACTTTGCTCTGGGCATGGAAATTCTGTCGTTATTCGCGAATTGTCGTTATATCCGCAGTCGTTATTCGCGAATTGTCGTTATATCCGCAGTCGTTATAAGCGAAGTTGACTGTAGTACTCACAAGATACAATAGTCCGTGAGCCAAATCTCAGAATCGGCCGTTTTAGCATCGACCGTTGCACCCAGAGATGGACAAATCGTCCTTCAGCACACCGCTTCACGATGGTATCCTGAAGCGATTTCCACTTGTTGGACAGTTCGAAACTGATCCAGGGAGGTCACAGAAGACGCCAAACATCCAACTTTGCTCACTGACAGCAGCGGCCATTTTCGCCTTCTTCGCTTGATTTTTTTGCGCTTGTTCACGGATTCTCATTTTTGAAGCCATGAGCAGATACCACGAGTGCACATAACGCGGAAACCAGTGCGCAAAACTAGATTCGAATTTTTTTGCCGCTGAGAATTATGAATCGGGATCATGCATGCAAACTGCATGCAGCAAAGTCACTACTGTTTGTAGTTACAATGGCAATCGTTCAGAACTGACTTCCAAGAATGTCCTAAATATCTCTCGACATATTTGTTCACCACTTCCTAGGCCAATAGGCGTAGTAGACTGTAGTGAGTAACCTTCTGGAGCAAATGACGACTGCCCCGAGCATGAACTTCTTTTCATCCTGTTCAAGGTCAAATATTACTCAGTTTGCGTTGAAGAATAACAATTACATTCGTGAATGGCCGAACTGAGAAAACCCTCATGATTTCTCTTGGATTTCGTATCCCAAGTTCCTTTACTTGGCTGGATAAATCGCGATTGTAGGCCCTGTCATCATGGTCTTTCATACCGGCGACTGTTCCAAGCCCGTCGTTCACTTTGAGCTCAGTAAGGCATGTACATGTACAATGCATGACCCTGCAGTGGGTAGAATCGTGCATGGTGCTACAGGACGAAATTCACAAACCGGTAATTAGTAATACCCTCAGCCGGATTTAGTTATTCAGGGTGTGCTTGAAATCTGAGATTGTGACGAGGTACAATCAGGACCTAGTTAGCTATGGAAGATACTGTACAATCGTCATGTGCATGTACATGGTTGTATTACTCAGAACCTTCCAGTGAACAGGTCATTGTCACACATGAACGGTGGCATCCAGTGTAGGTTTGTGGTAAACAACTCATACACTGCCTTCTTCTAAGGTCTGTGTTGAACAGCGAAAGACCTTAGTAGGCTTCTGTCCTATTATGACAGGTACATACTGGTTCTGGTAGACTGCAATCAAGATTGATCCATAATGCTATGGTAGCGGTGGCCGAAAACCACCGGCAGCCACCGCAGCCAACCAGAACTGAACAGCTCTCGACTTAAGTCCTCACCACTTACTCCTCTTCGACCCTCAGACTCAGTCTGTCATCTTCTCAAGAAGATGTTTCTTCCACCGGTCACGTGACTGTTGCTGCACAACTGAGCGTGTCTGATGATAAACTACGAGCATACCATGAAAATGGCTCAATCAATCTTAACGAGAGAAGTCAGTTTTATACATCTACTTGGTACTTCGAAGTACATGAACATGAATATCTGCCTTCAACATTTGAATTTGGCACTTTTTTCTTTTCAACTTCTATTCATTTGCTTCTTCCTGCAGCTCAGGTTGGACTTGCTGTACTACTAACAGCTCATAACAATTGTGTCCGCTTCTAGTAGTAGGACAAGTGAATCCCAGCGGCATCGGCCCCGCTTTGGCACACATATTGTTATCCTATGGAGCTTTCCAAGAGGGCCATCCTCCACAAACACAAGGCAAACACGACGCTTTCTGGTGGAAAGTTATAAATTAGGAAAACCTGTTTTAAAAGAACGATGATAGAAGCTGGTAGATCTCAATGGCTCAAGGCATAGAAGAACAAGAATGCTATAACATTAATAGAGTGATGATAATTTGTTCTGGGTGATAGGTGGTATTGAGAGCCAAAGGCAAGGGTTTGCTTGATAGACGCAATACCGTAGCAAATAGATGGTTATTTCTTTAATTTAGAAAGCAGATATGTGCCAAAAAATGGACGAAATACCGCTTGGATTCGCTGTTTACAAAGAAAAGAAATGGAAATAGAATCGGAATTGACCATCAGGAGCGTTGCCTGGAAGACAGAAAGCAAGTATCGGATACAAAAGTACTAGGCTGTGTACTTGCTGTGAAGGACTGACAAACGGCGAACAGCTAAAACGACTTGAATGCTAATATGCTTGAACCAAAGTGCAATTCAATGGTGAGGAGAGGCGTAACCAAGAACCAGACATGCACATACACACACGTACACACACGCATACACAATGGGATTTACCGATAAACTACGCTCAATCGCACGCGCACACACATACACGCAAACATGCACTGAATGGCACGCTCAAGCATACACAAACACACAAGCTCAGACATACACTTGCACACACGCACGCTTGCTTTTAGGCAGTTAGTCCAGTTATAGCGAGATAGATCCATATTCTTTTTCCGGGTTATTTCAGTTTTCTGGTATTTTTCCTTCTTTTTGACGTTTACTTGAGTAGAAGCTTGGCATAGATCGGGTAATCCTCCTGATGTCACTCGACATGCTGGGTTGGTTCCTTCATTACTATGATTGCATGAGGTGTGATGCTAGAAACTTAGTTCTACTGGTTGGGTGCTCTGCGCTACCATAGTAACAATGGCGACAGTGTCTGTGCACACAATGCAAGGTGTGATGCAGTGTTCTCCGCGGGCTGCGTCCAGCGTACCATGCACAGTGCTCGTGCTCATGCTCTCCGCAGCAGCAGCGACAGTAGGACCGCCACCACCAGCACGAAGGCGGAGCGCTGGCCATCGGCGGCGGATGCTGATGAAGACGCCGCTTGCAACTGCTCAATGACGACGGGCTCGTGTTGCTCCAGCTGCTGCGTCTCGACAACAACATTGTTCAGCAGCGTGGAGTGGTCGGAGAGCTTACCGGTGACTGAGCGGAAGCGCAGCATCGCCCTGTCTCTGCTCTTGGTCTGAATGTCACAGTAGCCGTATTCCGAGAGATGCGCTTCAATCCACGCCTCTTGCCTGATGGGCGTGATTTCCAACGGGGCTCCGGCAGTTCCGCACGTCATGTGAACGACGCCGTGCGATTTGCCGTCGGTGACGCACCGTTCGCTCCCATCCAGCGGACAAGTCCGGACGTAGTTGGCAAAGTACGCCGACAGATAGACATTGACATGGTGCTTGTGCATCAGTGCGTGCAGCGTGCGCCGCAGGGCCGTCTCGTCGAACCCGGCGGAGTCGTGCGATGCCGGCCGAGTCTGTCCGTTGAAGATGGGCCGGTGACCGGCGACAATGAGCCACGGATACTGCGATCGGTCTACGCTGGAGAGCTCCGCTTCTAGCCATGTGAACTGTGCTGAGCCGGGCGATACGTCGTGCTCGGTGCTGATGTAGACTAGGTAGGCATTAGCTAGGGCATGACTGTACCAAAACACGCCGTTGCTAGTCGTCGACCCAGGCATGGAGAAAAGATGAGAGAGTGGAACACCACCTTCACCGCCGGACTTGTTTGAACGGCTGGCCCAGGCGGCCAGGCCCTTGTCCGTGGCGGCGGCGTTGTCTATGGCAACTTCCCTCTCGCCGGCGACGACATGATACGGTACGTGCTCTGCCACCGGCTGGATTTGATTCAGGAAGTAGTCCCAGACGAAACTGCGACCGGACGAGTAGGCCAGGTTACCGAGGTGAATGACGAGGTCTGGGCGGTGCGCTGATGGTGCCGGGTTGGCAAAGTCAGCAGCCAGACGATGCATGAATGATTGGACGGCTGCAGACGACGGGGTGCTGGCCACTCCGTGCTTGCCGGCATGCGCGTGCTGATCAAACACGCCCATGTTGCCGAACGCTGCAATGTGAGCGCGATGTGTTGGCTGAGGTGAGCGCGGCGTTCGGAATGACCTCGTGCGAGTGTCGCCATCTATCATGTACGTGTACTCGGTGTGCGGGTCCAGGGAAGTGAGCCTAGCTTGGTGCACATTGCCAGGGCTACGGTAGTAATCAGGCCGCTCAATGTTTGCTGGTTTTCCTGGCAGATCACTCTGTGAATACATATCCACCCTGCTGGCATCCGCTTGGAACGTCTTCTCCGGACGATCGCTGCGAAAGTACGTCACACTCGCAGAGGTCACGTTGTCAGCGAACACCTTCCACATGACCTTCATGCCCGCTCGCTTGGCATCTCGGAGCAATGACAGGCGAACCTGACCCACGGGTGGTGAGTTCACGGCGAAGATCTGCGTGCCCAATGAGTGAATGGGCAGGAAGAGTACCAAATTTCCGAACGCCCTGCGCTTGACCACGACGAACTCACAGTAGGTGGTCAACGTGCCCAAGCCAACGATAGGTCCGAGGCTCAGCGTGCCAGAGCGCTGTGCAGCGTCCTGGCGCAATGTGCTCACGAATGAATACTCCAAGATGTGTCCATGAGTCTCCGATCCATTCCTGACTGGACAGAACACCCGAATCCGCAGTCGGTCGACGTAGTCGGGCAGTCTGTGCCACATGGGAACGGTGAAACGAACGGTCAGGTTCTGGCCGCTCTCGATGCTGCTGTTGAACGTGTCCCAGTACAGCTGGCCATGGCTGGGAAGCGGAGCGTACAGCATGATGACACACAGGACGGCAAGCAGAGCACAGCTGCGAGAACTATTGATGAAGGTCATCTTCGGTGCGAATGTGACAGTCTTCGGCACAAATACTGAAATAGGATGGAATGATTTCTTGACAAGACAGAAATGGTTTTGACGAGGAGGACGAGGAGGAGGTGTTGCTCTGAAATGAAGCTTCTCTCCTTCTGACAACGAAATAAACGAGCACACAGCTCAACGAGTTTCTACACGACGACTGGACAAAGCTGACGGCAACGTCAGTTCTTCTGAAGAAAAATTAGCATGGACATGTGAGTGTGACCCCGAGTAGGTCTACCACCACGTAACACGGCATGCAGTCGAGTCCGAAGGTCTAGGCCTGGGAAGAGGCTGATTGGATGACGCGCTGTACACGGCGAGTCAGCATCGTAACGAACAGGCCTGGCACTTTGCCCGAGAGCGCAGTAATCAGACACACAAGGTCACAGAGCGACACACAAGCAGAATATCCAAACAGGTGTTATGACCTGTTTCGGGATCAGCGTTCTTTCGGCGTTGGCAGCGTGGGAGAGGCGAGCCAAGGTAGCAGCCTTTGCTGTGGTCTCTCGCGAGTCTCGGTGAGATGCAGCTAGGTTGGACGCAGGCGACACCAGCGTGTGTAGCATGTGGCAGGAGAGAAAGGGAGGGGAAGAGAACAATGGACAAGGACAACAGCAAGGGAAACAATTTCTGCACTGTCTCCCCGAAACAGCAGACAGTGCAGATGGGGATGAAAACAAAGTTTGGCTGCTCTTGCCTGAGCCCAAGCTGGTTTATATTCGTGCTCAGTGAAGCATGCAGGCCGGGTGAATCAGCTGACTCCGAGCGGCGAAGTGGCAGTTCATCTGAGCGTGGTGAACAGAAGTGCTCCCAGTTCACCTGCAGCTCGCAACTAAACGATCCAGGGGCCACGTCGTGCTTCGCTCAATGGCAGCGCCGTGCGAAACAACATGAGTCATGCCGGTTGACCTGAACGACAGCCTGCGATGAACTGTCAGTGCGACCACCACCACCACTGCCACCACCACCACCAAGATATCATAAAAGTGATCCATTACTGCATGCTGTGACACTGGGACAGCCATGATACGATTACTAGAGTCACACAGACTAGACAGTGACATACAACATCGCCATGAGATGTGCACGATGGTGTGTGGTTATTGATCTCCATGGGCATGGATTGATTTCCATGTACAAGTAGACCTACACGTACATACAGTGCTTGGCAACTGAAATCCGACCCCCTGATCAGCTGAGCTGAGCGCACGGCTCAGCTGATCAGGGGGTCGGATTTCAGTTGCCAGCACTGTACAGCGTAGATCTATAGCGGATTCACACCATCCACAGTTCACACTGCATACTTACCATAGTATCACTATCAGCAAGGAAGGATACTAACGTTATAACGGATGGAAGACGGGGGACGTCAGGTGCTTCTATTCGATTTCTTGATTCACATGCGTTGTTATGCAGCAATTACAATGTCCAGCGAAAACAGTGTGTATGTACATCATCCGAGACAGCGTTGGTATACAAGTCTATCGACTGTGTATCTGCTTCAGTGCTACTGACCATTGTACAACGTAGTGCTCACTTCGCCTGTGACCAATCGCTGCGCTCCAATCGGCGCCGCCTCCTTCTCGCTGATGACAGCTTACCAGCCACACGGGCAAATCAGCTGTTGAGTGTTGGAAATCAGCTGTTGCTTTGTTCGGGCATCGCTTTGCACGTACTGAGCCTCAGACTCTGAGCATGTACATGTACATGTACATGTACCATGTAAGGCTTGATCTTGGCGACGTCGCTTGCAGAAAGCCCAGGCAGGGCTGACCGGCGCGGGAGCCGGGCTTTGCACCATGGCCGGCCTTCGACACCGTGCGTAAGTATTGCAGGACATAGAGATACTGATACACGCCATGGGTACACGGTGTGCCCAATGGCAATGGCCCAACTCCACGGAGCATGTTGGGTAGGTAACAGGTTATACAGCATGGTACATGTACTGTTGGTTCTACCCACACTCCACAATGCCACTCACACCCTAGCTCTCTATCACTATCAGTATTGTTATGTACCAGGCTGTGATCGGCCGATGCCACGACCGGTCACGTGTATGATTCTGCCCTAGGCCTCATTGTCAGTGGACGGACACTGCCCGATGGCCGGCCTGCGGGCTGACGATAGCTTGAGAACGTGTGTGAATGGGACAATGCTCTTATGCGTCTGTCTGCAGTACGTCTGCAGTCAGTGCAGCCAAGACCACAGACACACCTGCTAATGTCTACATCATGCGCGTGCACAGTTGCAAGGTTGGTGATGCTGTGAAGCAGGCTGCACGCGCGATGTCTCCGACAAACCGTAGTTTAACCAGACGTGCACGGATCACGATCGCGTACTTGTATGGAGACAGGTTTGAAGTTAGTTGGGCGTGTTCGCTAAGAACCTGTTTTTGTTCCTCCGCCTCCCCCACAACATGTACATGTACAGATAAGACAATCACACGCGCACATGCGGAAACGTCCTTGGGCCATTACGGCATTAGCACCACTCGGTGAGCTTCTATTCGAAAGCCAGCTAACCAACCGTTATGGTCGTATTCCTTTTTCTAGCAGTCTACAATACACGTACACTGTCCGTAGAAACGTACCATCGCGAGTACGTGTACTTCAATACACACTCATAGCTATGATTTATGAAGAAGACTTTCCACTACATGACAAGGCTACAATGGAGCTTCAAAGTTGGTTCTCAAAATATGAAGAATACGTCATGAATAGCACATGTATATGTAGGCAACATGTAGCACCATGGGCTAGTTAACCCTTTAGAGCCGGAATTATTTTAATTATTATGCATAATTATGCTTCAGATGGTCGTAGGACCCTAGATCGCAGGACGAGTGGCCTCCGTGCATACAGCTCTATCTAATCAGCACATCAAGGGAATTCTGCGAAACTGATTCACGGATGGTGCCCCTATCACAATCTGCCTCGCGACGGTGCGCGCGCGCGCGCGTGTATGTGTGTGTGTGTGTGCATATGTGTGTGTGTATGTGTGTACATCTACATGATGGCTGTCTCTCACTGCGACACTGGTCATCATGTAGCCACTACTGCACTAGCGCCTGTTCTCCCGGGCCTGCCTGCCTGCTCACCTGGGATGTGGCCTATTTGGCAGGCACCGGTGGAGGTCTGGTGGCTGATGATCAGCTACTTACAGAACTAGGATACATGGTTGGCTAACGTTAGCTCCATCCAGCACCATACACTAATCTGGAGCACGTGACTGAGAATCGGTCCTCTGCAACTCTACTTCAAAGAAGGAAATCACAGTATAAGCCAAGTAGTTACTACATGATTGTAGTTCCTAACCATTGTAGGGATACAGTCGGAGGATCCATGCACCACAAAGAGTAAAACATACGTTTTATATTATAAACACACACTTCGTGCATGAGTTCCAGTAAGTAACGTAAATTAGTGCAGTATGGTGCTCCAGACCATGTTGTCCCCTCCGCAGCAAGCAAGCAGGCAGAGCGAGCTAGCTGTCTCTGGCAATCAGACACATCTGGCTGCCAAGGCTGCACTCACTGATCACTGGCTGGCTTGGAAAGTTGGATCGAGACTGCGAGCTAATGCCATGCCTTCCGACACCATTGTGCCGCTATGATTGTATCACGCTCCACAGAACACCTGGCCCAAAAGGACTATGATTGTGCTAATGTAGAACATACCTGGGGCGGCTAGGATTTGGCTAGGGTGATTCAAACTTCTGGTAGCTGTTGTTGGTGGATTGAGTTGTTCTCCCGTTATAGCCGGGGGGCTTGTTGGTTGTTGGTCTTGAACAAAGTTCATCATCGTGAGAAGCTACAGAAGCATTAGTGTACGAGCTCGTATCTTATACCTTGTCGACGCTGAACGACGTGTAGTACATGTATTATTAGCTGAATGCCATAATCTTTGCGTCGATTGGAGTGCCGCTCTTATTGACATTGGAGCTCTCCTTCAGCGAGGCTTCTGCAGGATGCAACATGCAGTGTTATGTGTGCTTGTTCAATCCTGTCTTTGAACGGCAAGGTTCAGTTATTAGAAGCAAGAAACGTGCGAGAGGGAATTGAAATATTCATTCTATCGCTCAACTCCCGAACCCTGTCTTGGCCATGTCAGACATTGCGACTGCTCCCTGCCCTCTGCTTTGAATCGTCAAATCAACATGATTATTAATGTTATTATGATCAATGACAGAGGGACCCTGATGATCAATGTGAATGACCACCAAACAATAGCTATGGGCAGTGCGTACTGCTAAGTCTGCTGACCTGTTGCAGCCATATCGCTACAGTAGACTGCACGATTGCGTGTGGGGCATCTTGGGGATGTGCTACAAAGACATGTACTACTACATCATTGTAGTATCGCTAATCACATCCATTCTGGGGCATCTCCTCCAGATGTCAGGGCTAATGAACGTTCAACTCGCAGAAGAGGTGAGGCGCCGGTGATGCAGCCACCATCTTTGAAACTTGCCAATCAAGAACCTGTGAAACCGTGAATGTGATGTCTATTGATTCGAGAGTACTGAAGGAACATTGCATTCATGATGATTGTATTGGCAACCATTGCACCGCAGAAATCGCACGCAACTGCAAGCTCTGCATTCTTGCAAACACACGGAACGACCGTGAGTGTTGATCTCCCCACGCGTCACCACTGGTCACGCTTGGCTTTAATTCACCGGTGTGTACGACTCGTACGTGGGATGATGGCTCTATTACGTTAGGGCAAGGCGTGATGTACGAGCCATGAAGCAATTACTGGAGGGAAGAAGTTCAGAGTCGTATTCCCGAACCTGATTCCTCGAGTATGCGCCTCTGAGAGCTCTCCTACCAAGTTTTTCGTCCATTCCTCACAGGGAAGAACGGAATGGAAGAAGTATCACAACATGTTTGGACGAGACCCGACTTGGCTTTCATACACGGCTGTTTGACTTGCACGTTGTAACTCTATTCGTGTCGCCAATTGAGTTGTCGATCTACACACACACACTGCGACTGAGCTCAGTGACATGTGGTCCAGGTTCCGTCATGTACATGTATGTTTTCTTATCCGCCGCTATATTGTTCCCAACAGGCACCAGGCTCACGAGGTTACATGGAAAAAAGGTTTGCACGGGACCTTCAGATGAGACGCCATGTGAAATTAGCCGGTTCGTCTCTACTTGTTCAGTGGCATCTATAAAGCACTTGTAGCGCCTGTACAATAGCCGAATAGCTCAATCGGATGTGGCAATCACCGTTAACGTTGAGCTGTCGACAAGTTCCCACAACAGAATGATACGGACCAAGGTGGGCCCGGCGGGGGAACTCCCACAGGGCGCGTAGTTCTCGAAGACCTAACCACCACTGCCACCGTCGATGTCTGTATGACTATTTCGTCTGCTCGGTTGCATTTTCATGTTTGGCATTGAAGTGGCCTTCATGTTCATGTTGGCATTAATTAAAGTGGCCTTTAAGTGAAAACAAATCTCCCCATGGCTCTGGTCCTGCCGAACGATGGACACTCACACTCGTGACCCATGATGGACAGTCAATACAACACAGTGACTTCTGCGTTTGCTTGCTGTAAGTCACGTGTATAGCTGACTATCAGCACCACTGAATAACTCTTACTGTATACCGGAGACTGGACACGATAATAGGGTCTTGATTTTAGCAAGCTGCACTTCGAGGCTATACCATCAATCTTGACTGTGTCCTGGTTGCGTCTCCTTGGGTCCTGGCTGGCTCTGTTGGTGTGGCTGTGTTTGTTACACAGTGAGTTTACA